TTGGCACAACTTTACTCAGTGGAAAAAAAAAAAAAAAGACTGTGGGGCATGTGCCTAGTTCAAAGATAGTAGTTATCTTCACTAACAAAATTTTTAGTCTGTCTATCCAGAGGTCTGATAGACCAATAGATTATTCCGATTATAATATTCCATTTATCTTTTGACATTATAATATCCCTTAAGACCTGACACTTTGATGTTCTACACTGGAAATCATGTTTTACCCAAAAGCAAATCAATGTTGGCCCATCCAGTTCCCTAGATCCCTGAAAGTTTCTCCTTGACGTGAGACTTCTGAAATCAGATTTAACTTTGTGCCTCTCCAGGCTAGTTATGGAGACTGTATGGAATGGTAACTATGAAAACACTTTGAAAAAATATGAAGCTCCTTGGGAATGCATAATATTATGATTTTTATTGGGAAATGTTTGTTGTTTTTTAGGGGACAGTATTTATTCAAAAATAAACCTCCTGATGGGAATGCTCCTCCCAACTCTTTTTATAGAGCACTTTATCCTAAAATTATACAAGACATTGAGGTAAGAATCTATGTGTATTTGGGTATTTGCCAAATCTTAGAGATTCATCAGCATTCTTAAGTAACAATGTTTTTACAATAAACTCATTAAGATTTATTGATGTGAGTTAAAAATCAATTTATAAGAGAATAGAGTAGATAAAATATAGTAAATTGCCAAGCAAAAATGTATAAGTGTCTAAAAGTTGTTTACTGATAGATAAATAGATATGAGAGAGAGGGGGAGACAGTGATATCTTCGTACAGTAACAGTGCGACTCCTAAAGTTGTACTTATAACCTGATATTCAGATGTCTTCTGAATTGAGCCTCTCTGGAAGTTCACTGATAGAAATGGTCACCACGTATGTAGGAAGAGCACTGCGCACATAACTTCATGTGGTTCATAGCTTGCCCTCTGTCAGTAAGCAGTCTCTTTCCACCAGGCTTATTATTTAATTGAATGAGTTATATGCAGGAGAATTCTAGAAAGTAAATCTCTACTTTACAAACGAAAAAATGTTTTATAATTTTAAATAGTGGCTTTTTAAAAACATATTTTTAGTTTGCCTTAAGTTCTGTGTGTCCAGTAGAGTGAACCACTGAGCATTTGTCATTGGTTGCCATGAAAGTCAGATAGTTCTGGTCCTTTCCTAATTACTGCCTCTTTATCGTTTCTTCTTCTCAGACAATAGAATCTAATTGGAGATGTGGAAGACATAGTTTACAGAGAATTCACTGCCGAAGTGAAACAAGCAAAGGTGTTTACTGTTTACAGTATGATGATCAGAAGATAGTAAGCGGCCTTCGAGACAACACGATCAAGGTGAGGTCTCTTCAGTTGTGGGAAGGAGCGAGGGTGACCACATTCATAAAGCAATCCAAAGTGTGAATTCTAAGTATTATTTCCAGGAAGTAAGTGAGCATTTTAGATTGTTTCTAGTCCCAAAGCCAAAATCATTTTCTTAAAGAACAGATACTTGCTTCCTCCGAGAAGAGCATACCAATGGATTATTAAATTCTCGTCTTGAAGTGTACTGAATGGGCTACTCTACTGGCCTTCACATAATTATAGGCTACCCCTGCTCCTTAATGAAAAGGATAAAGCCTGCATTAGTACTAAAGCCACATATATATAGGTGCTTAGCTATCCCTAGAGAAAAGAATGCATTCCACACTACTCTGGGCTTTGATTCTTTTGGGGAATCAAACACATAATAGAGCCAGCAAGTCTCTGCAACACCGCATTATCACAGTGATCAAAAGGATCTTGTTTGCCATCCTAGATCTGGGATAAAAGCACATTGGAATGCAAGCGAATTCTCACAGGCCACACGGGTTCTGTCCTATGTCTTCAGTATGACGAGAGGGTGATCATAACTGGATCATCGGATTCCACGGTCAGGTAGAAAATTTCAAACGATCTTTTGAACTCTGAAATACCAGATCCACTCTGTTCTTTATCATAGATAGTAATTCTGTATATATCTGCATGAACACAGTTCTGAAACTTCATAAATAAAGAAGAATAAACCGTCAGCTCCCCCCATCATTGTGTCAATCTAGAACTAGAAAACTTGAATTAGAATGATTAAGGTAAGCTTACATTTTTGTACATTTAAGAAACTACACGTTCTATTTTAATTTGGGGGAATCATCCATTGTAGAAACTTGGTAAATCTTTCATTCCTTCCAAAAACCAACTCACGAGGGAATGACATGAATGAAATGAAGCCTTCCTTTCAGTTGGCTATAACTGTAGTGCAGGCATGTGTTATCTCCTTTATAATGTGTACAGGTGAGCAATGCTTTCTCTTTGCCAGCCCCTTCCCTGCTCCTTCCCTGCTGTCCCTGCAGTTTTTAATTGCAAGCTTGACTCAGGGAGGGGCCTTCAATTTCCACAGGCATTAGTGATTTGATGACACAGCCGTTATGCTGCTGGAGTCCAGTGTAGCTTGAGTTCTGGGTACCAGCAGCACTGCTGGAAACCTCTGTTAGGAATTTCGCCTTAAGCTATAGGATTTAGCAAACATAATGCATCAAAAGTAACTTTAAAAAAAAATGGGGAAAAAGCAGTTAACGGCATTGTTAGATTCTCTGAAGTTAAATGTTTACCATTCTCAGTTATCCTCTGTGAATAGAAAAGGCCGTTCCTGTTTCTCGTCTTTTGACTTAAAGGCATAGCAAACTCAGTTCTTATAGTTATCGACATTTAACATTTATTGGTGCTTTGTGGAGTGCCTCAAGGAAGCTGAAACATTGTAGAGGCTAACATCATTTATAGGATAAGGGAAAAAGTGACTTTCTAAAAAGGGGGTTAAACTGGAAAAGGAAATAAAATGTGTTATAAAAACCAAAATAAATATACAAAAAGAGTAATCAAAATCATCACACAAAATTCTCAAGCTATCCAAGGGTCCCATGCTCTGATGTGAAGCCCATATTTATAGTTGGATGCCTAGTCTTGATCCCTACCCCCAGCAGAAGCACAGAAATGGAACCTTAGACTTAGGGTCTAGGTAATCTAAACCTTGACTTGTGTGGTGAAATCTAAGATTCAGGGTCATCAAGCTCAAATCCATAGTACTGCTATGACAATCTATTATAGAAGCTTCTCGGCCTATATCAGTTTCCTGAGAGCTATCCATAGGGCACTAACGCTGCTGTTATTAATCACATTCACAATTTTAAATGTATCTTACTAATGGTATCAGATTGAATGTCAAAAGTTTTATAATCATCTCGAAGTCTAGGTTTAATTAGTAGGTGATGGTGGCTGCTACCACATTCCTACCCCCACACTTGCCCAAATTTCAAGTAATTTGTCTTAAGCATTTCACATCGTCAGCATCTCATCCCCTTCTTTTCCCCACTCTCTCAATCTAGCCATCTACCTACCACTTCCCTGTGATCCATCAGTACTCTTTATCTCAGCTCAACTTCAAAGTTGCAAAAAAAGAGTAAGGTGTAATGCTAGCTATGAAAATGGGTCAGGAGGGGTGGGAAGTGCAGTGGTCAAATATTAGTAATAGATTGTACCATAAGTACCATCAAAATCTCAGAGAACCTTAATGTTGTTTGTTTCAGAGTGTGGGATGTAAATACAGGTGAAATGCTAAACACGTTGATTCACCATTGTGAAGCAGTTTTGCACTTGCGTTTCAATAACGGCATGATGGTGACTTGTTCCAAAGACCGTTCCATTGCTGTATGGGATATGGCCTCCCCAACTGACATCACCCTCCGGAGGGTGCTTGTCGGACACCGAGCAGCCGTCAATGTTGTAGACTTTGATGACAAGTACATTGTTTCTGCATCTGGAGATAGGACTATAAAGGTAATACAGCATTTTTCAGTAAGTTCCCAACTTAGAGTAAGGGAATTCGTGTGAAAATCTGATCAAGGGCTAATTCATATTTAAACATCACTGTAAGCTAATATTTAATTCAGATACTAGTCTATGTGTAAAAAGGTAATGAATGAGGCAAGTTGTGTCACAGTTTTGGTTAGGTATTTTATTACTATAAATAATGGTGTGTGTAAGAAGGCAGTTGTAAATATAGGTTCAAGAAAATTTGTCTGGAAGACCAGCCTAACACAGTAAGAGTAAATCAATTTGAGAAATCCTCATGTGAATAGCATCCAGCTACAAATTAGCCCTATATTACCGTGACTCAAACTTGTCATTGGTTTGGTTTGGTTCGGATTTGGTTCTGTTCGGGTCAGGTCAGGTCGGACTAGGCTGGGCCTGGCCAGGCTTGAGAAGTTGATATGCCCCTGTTGGTTCAGTCCTATTTTCTGATTTTCTGTTTCCCAAAGACTCCAGTTGCCATGGATTTTAGTAGTGAAAGCATCAAATCAACTGCCAAATGCTATTTTCTGTCTTTTTCTGTTTCAGGTATGGAACACAAGTACTTGTGAATTTGTAAGGACCTTAAATGGACACAAACGTGGTATCGCCTGTTTGCAGTACAGAGACAGGCTGGTCGTGAGTGGCTCATCTGACAACACTATCAGGTGAGCAGCAGGTGCCCTTGCCCAGAAGAGATCAATATTATCCTGCCATTCATTGTTTGTACACAGTTCAAACATATCTTTAACTGTGTTATGTTTATAATAAAATGTTTTTCCTTTCTGTAGCTTCTTACAGGTCAAAAGTTTGCCCCAAGCAGAAAGGCAGCACACCAAAACTTTTAGTGATTTGTTTCCTTCCTGTAATGGTTTTATCACCAGATAGACCTATTTTAAAGGTACAGCTTAAATGAGGAAGTGGTCAAGAGAAATAAGTAGATTGAGGTTGAAAGTCTTTCTCTTTAAATTTCACCTGTCTACAGTGGAAGAGTTCTAATAGATAGCTAAAGGCCATTTCTCTCTGCCACTGTTCTAAAAAAAAAGAAAAAAGATTTCTTTCTCCACTAGAAAATGTGCATTTTGTTTTCTTAGCATTACATAGTTGGCCAAGGAGTTACCAGCCTTTGAAATTATAAAGTATCCACAAATTAAAGTATTTTTAGTGTTTTCTCTTTACGAAGATGAATGACACAGATATGAATAGAATTTGGATGATTTTTCCATCCTCTCCCTTCCTTCATAGAAGTACTAAGAGGATGAAAGACCATTTAAAAAAACAGAACTGTTGTTATAGCTAAGGAAATTTTCATTGCTAGAAATCATTTGGATTGGTCTGAAAGCACACAATTTTTTTATGTTAGTATATAAAAATATTTGAGAACTTACTTTGCATTTTCATTATATGAGAAAAACTGTCCTGGACAGTGGGTGAAAGCAGAGTGTGTCCTCAGTGAAAGAAATGGACATGTTTTGTGAGGACACAATGTCACTGACACGTTTCATCTCATTCTTATTGGTGATTTCAGGAGGCATTACTTTTCTTGCATTGGTCATCTTCTTCACAGGAAACTGTGTACATTGAATTCATCTTTTTTATGCATTGGAGACCCTGGTTACAGAATTATATAAAGCATTGTACTTTGAAAAAATATAGTGCGTTTGAACTTAAATCACATTTTTCTTCCCAGCAGAAAGGAAATAAATTACATTGAAAGCAGTACATTTTTGCATGGGTATGGATTTATTTTATTTTTGTGGATTTTTAAAAGACATATGAAGTATTTCATAATATTCCAAGCTTATAAAAGAATACATGAAAATTTTCTTTTCCAGATTATGGGACATAGAATGTGGTGCATGTTTACGAGTATTAGAAGGCCATGAGGAATTGGTGCGCTGTATTCGATTTGATAACAAGAGGATAGTCAGTGGAGCCTATGATGGGTGAGTTTGCTAACGGGGGTAAAAAAAAAATCTACAGCTGAGTCCCTCCTGCCTTAGAATGTTAAATGTAGCCTTTCCTTGTCTCTAAAAGATTATAGGTTTCACAGAAAGGACCCAATGTAGCTCTTGTGTCTAATCTATGTATTCATCTTGTGTCTAATCTATGTATTCCAAAATATTCTTCCCAATCATTTAATTGCACATTTTTGTTCATGATTGTTATTTATATTTCAAGGTTTGTTGTTATATAGTTGTAAAAGAACTAACCAAACTTCGTATAATAGGATATGAATATAAAATAGTGACTTATTAATAAAACTGAGACATCGAAAGGCAATATCTATGTGACTTAGTGTGGTAGGGTCTTGAATATTGATCTCTTTGAATGATTCCTAAAAGTGCAGCACTCTTGTCTTCACTTCTTCTAGCATTTCAGTTACAATGAATTCAGTAATCTTTATTTTCTTCAGTCTAATTTCCAGTGATTATAGAATCCATTCATATTGTACCTGGATCCCCATGTCTAGCAATGCTAAGCACATAGTAAGTTCCTACAAAAGTGTACTCACTTATAAAGGCCTATTTATCATTTCTTCTTGTCAAGGTACCTGATTTGGGAGAGTAGAAAGCTACGGTTCAAATATTGGCAGCTTTTTAAATATCTAACAATGTTATCTTAGTGTATGAGCTGGCTATATTGATATATTAAGACAACTCAAGCAGCAGGAAGTGTAGCAAACCTGCTTCCTCTGCTTTGAGTCAGCCATTACTCTCATATCCTTAGGAAATTGTTCAGGGATATGATACCATGTTCCAGCTAGGTCCAAGGTTATATCTTCTCATTCCCATGATTTTCATCTTTACCCACCTTCCTTGGATTTTATCTGTTATTTACCTAGAGGAGACATAACCTGTAATTAATTTTTAGAGGGCTAAACTTTTCTTGTTTAAATGAAAATATGAGGATTTGTTTTGTAAACTACAGAGCTCTTAAATCTACCCCAGTCCTCTAGTATATGTTACCTAGGCCATTCTTAGAACTCACCAGAAAGAAGATGCCTCAGAGTTATAGGTTTCTAGGTCTGAGTGATCTCTTATATCATTAAGAGGTCTAATGTGTAAAATCTCCTCTTGGCTCCAAAGTATGGTGTAACTTTACTGTTCACTATCTTCATCAGTTTGGTTAAAGCTAACCCGTTTCTTATTTATAGGTTAAGCACATACATTTTCCCCTGTTAAGACCAATAACCTCCACCCAAGAATGAATACAAAAACTAAGTTTCCAAAACAAAAACTTTTTTATATATTCCTATGGGCTACATTTATCATATAAACTATATTCACCATACATATTTATTGCCATGCAGTTTTCGCTATTCTTCCTGTGTTCCTTTAATTTGCTTTTAACTAAGATATTTGTCTCCTTTTTGCTCTTTAGAAAAATTAAAGTATGGGATCTTGTAGCTGCTTTGGACCCCCGTGCTCCTGCAGGGACTCTCTGTCTGCGGACCCTTGTGGTAAGACTCTTGTTGTTTAGTGGGAGTTGGGGAGCAGGAAGGAGAAGAAATTAAACATTGATATGCTATGGAATACAGATCTGGGTTTGATTGTTAGAACCTCACAAAACCTACTACTAAGTGGAAAGGCAACCAGTACATGACAATAAAATACGTTTATATAGTGCCTTTCATCCAAAAGTACTTTAGAGACTATATATGAAGAGGAATGTGGCAGCTGTTTAACAGCTGCATAGCAACTCTACACATCAGTTTAGTACAGGAAGTGAATAAGAATTCTGTATCCACCAGAAACAGTAGGGGGTACTTAGGGAGAAGTAACATAATTACTCAAACTGGAACCTGTCCAGAATCTGAGGACCTGCACACCTGTGCCTGCAAAAAGTGCTGTGGGAGTGTGTATGAACCCCTGGTCTGCCCCTTAGTTCTGCATCCTATTCAAGGCATGCTGCCTCCAGCATTTTGAATCCCATCTTTTTTATTCCTGATATACTCCCTTGCCTGAACATCTTGACATTTAAGGAAAGAAGTGACTCAAAAGAAGGAATGTCACCTTCAAATGCACTAAATTCTTTATCATGGTTTTTCCAAAGGCCTGGATTAAAAAATTTCCTGAGGTTAAAAGCTGTTTTCATCAGAAAAAGATAATCAGGTGGGGCACCGGGGAGTACAGGATCTTTTGCACAACTCAGGGAAAGATGAGAACAAGCATTTGAAGCCCCAGTAGTCTGGATCCTGGCTCAACATTTAGGCAGTCTCTGCTCTGGAAAAGAGAGAAATACATTTGTCTTCCTTGTTGGAATTAAAGCTCATTCTTTCAGTACCAGACATGCTGTACCTTCATGTTTCTCATGTTTTTTAAAATATGTACTTTAATTCATTGACAATTAATCTAATTCTGGTTTTTAAAATATAATTTACATACAGCACAATTTGCCCATTTAGTGTATTTTTATAAACTTTGCAGATGTGTATTTTTATAAACTTTGCAGATGTGTAAATACCACAAAGTTATAGAAAATTTCCATCACCCTCCAAAATTATACCCCTTAGAATCACCCCTAGCAGCTGTTTATCTGATGTCTGTCCCTATAGTTTTGCTATCTTATGACTGTCTCATAAATTAAACTATACAATATGTAGCTTTTTTCATTTGGCTTTTTTACTTCATTTGAAATTTATCCATGCAGTTGCATATGTTAGTACCCTGTCTTTTTTATTGTTGAGTTGTATTCCATTGTGTGGATAACCCAGTTTGTTTTTTCATTCACCAGTTTAAGGATATTTGAAATGTTTCCAGTTTTTAGTGATACTGAAAACATTCCATACAGGTTTTTTAATGTACATTCATTTTCATTTCTCTTACGTAAATACCTAGAAGTTCAATTTCTGGGTCCAATGATAAGTATATGTTTAAATTTAAAAGAACTACTAAGCTGTTTTCCAAAGTGGAATTTTGGAAGCTTGCAAATACAAACCATTTTACATTTTTACTAGCAATATATGAGAGTCCCATTTTTCCACATCCTTGATAGCAGTTGGTATTGTTAGTTTTTTAAAAAATTATAGGCATTTGAATGTATAGTGATTATAGTTTTTTTGTGTGTGATTATAGTTTTAATTTGCATTTCTGTGATAATTAATGGTGTAGAACATCTTTTCATGTGCTTATCTTCTTTTGTGAAATGTCTGTTCAAATCTTGTCCTCATTTATTGAGTTGTCTTATTTTAAAAACGGATTTATTGAAATGTAATTGACATACAATAAAGTTGATATATTTAAAGTGTACAACTTAATAAATTTTGACATACGTTCATACCAAGATAATGAACATTTCTTCATAGCCTTATTTAATCTCTCCTTCCCTTTCCACCCACTTCCCCCTGCTTCAGTCCCCAGGCAACTACTGATCTGCTTTTTGTCAATATTGATTAGTTTGCATTTTCTAGGGTTTAATTAATGGAACCATAGAGTATGTACTTTTCTTTGCCTCTTTTCATTAAACATAATTATTTTGAGATTCACCCAGGTTGTTGGTATATATCAGTAGTTCACACATTTTTATAAATTGCTGAGTACTAATTGTGTGGTTATACCACAGTTTTATAAATTGCTGAGTACTAATTGTGTGGTTATACCACGGTTTACCAGTTGTTGAAAATTTGAATTGTTTCTAATTTTTGGCTATTACAAATAAAGTTTCTATAAACATTATACGCAAGTCTTCTTGTAAACGTATGCTTTCATTTCTCCAGGGTAAATCCTAGGGGCAGAATTGCTAGGTCATATGGCAAAGGTATGTTTAATATTTTTAGAAACTGCCAAACTGTTTTCCAAAGCAGTTGTACCATTTAACATTATAGTACAACAGTGCCTGAGAGTTCCAGTTACTCCACATCCTCACCAATACTTAGTACAGCTTTTTTCATTTGAGTCATTCTGATAAGTGCCTCATGGTTCCTCATTGTGATCTTAATTTGCATATCCCTAATGTTAATAATATTCAGTATCATTTTATGTGTTTTTTTGCCTTCTATATATCTACTCCGGTATAATGTCTGCTTGAATCTTTTACTTTCTTATCATTGAGTTTTGAGATTTCTTTACATATTCAGGATACCCATTTTGTTTTTGCTTTTTCATTCCCTTAAAAAAATCTTTTGAAAAGCAGAAACTCTTTAATTTCAATTAAGTCCAGTATATCAACTTTTTCTGTTATGGATTGTATTTGATATTATATCTAAAAAATTTTTTTGCCTAATCCAAAGTCACAGATTTTCCTCATGTTTTCTTTTAGAAGTTTCATAGTTTTAGATTTTACATTTTGGTCTATGATTCAATTTGAATTAATTTTTATGGATGGTACAAGGTATGGTTCAGAGTTCACATGGATATGAACTCTGTTGTTCCAGCACCATTTATTTAAGGTTATCCTTTTTCCTCTGAATTGCCTTTGCAGCTTTGTCAAAAACCAATTGTGTGTGGGTCTACTTATGGACCTATTCATTTCCATTGATCTTTTTGTCTGTTTTGATACCAATATCATGCTATCTTGGTTACTGCTGTTTTTAATAACTCGTAAAGTTAAGTCATGTAAGTCCTTCAACTTCGTTCTTTTTCAAAGTTTTTGGGTCCTTTGAATTTTCATGTGAATTTTATAATCTCTTTGCTGATTTCAGCTACCCACCCCTCACCCCCACCCCCCCAAAAAAATCTGCTGAGATATTCATTGGGATTGTGTTAAATCTAGATTAATTTGGATTGGAGAGAGTTGACTTCTTAACAATATTAAGTCTTCTTCTGGTACATGAACACAATATATCTCTCCATTTATTTAGGTCTTTTTAAAATTTCTCAGCAGTGTTTTATAACATTCAGTGTAAAGGTCATGTACATATTCTGTCATATTTATATCTAAGTATTTCATATTTTTAATGCTATTATAAATGGTATTTTAAAATTTAAATTTTTGAATCATTCATTGCAAGGATATACACTTTTACTTCCTTTCCACTCTATGTACCTTTCATTTCTTTCTTGTTTTATAGTACTAAGACCTTTAGTACAGGGTTCAAAAGAATTGGTAAGAGTGGCTGTCTTTATCTTGGGGAAAAGGCATTTGGTCTTTACCATTTTATATATACATACATAGAGAGTGATATGTTAGCTATAGGTTTTTCATAGATACCCGTTATCAAGACATTAGGAAGTTCCTAGATTGAGAGTTTTTATTAGAAATGGATGTTAGATTTTATTAAGTGCTTTTATTTACATCCATTGAGATGATCTTATATTTTTGCCTTTATTCTGTTAATTGGTGTATTACATTGATTTTTGAATGTTAAACCTAACTTTGCATCACTACAGATCCCATGGACATTAAAAAATAATAATAAAGGAATACTATGAACAAATCTGTGCCCCCAGACTTGATAACCTAGATGAAATGGATCAATTCCTTGAAAGATATAATCTTCCACAACTCACGTTGGAAGAAATAGATGATATAAATACCTGTTAATGAAATTGAAGCAATAATAACCTTCCAAAATAGAAAGCACCAGGCCCAAAATGGGTTCACTGGTGAATTCTACAAAATGTTTGAGAAAGACATTATAGCAGTTTTTTACAATCTTTTTCCAGAAGGTAAAAGCAGAGTGAATACTTCCTAACTCATTCTATGAGGCCAACATTACCCTAATACCAAAACCAGACAAAGATATTACAAGGAAAGGAAACTACAGACCAAGATGTCTCATGCACACAGAGGCTCATATATAAGCTCATTTGTATCTTGTAGAGAATATAAATGGTGCACCCGCTATGGAAAAGAGAATGGCAGTTCTTCAGAATATTTAAGATAGAATTACCACATAATCCAGTACTCCCATTTCTGGGTATGTAGTATATCCAAAAGAATCAAGAGTAGGATGTCAAAAAGATATTTGCATACTCTTGTTCATAGCACTGTTATTAACAGTAGCCAAGAGGTGGATACAACCCAAGTGTCCATTGACAGATAAATGGATAAACAAAATGTGTGTGTGTGTGTGTGTGTGTGTGTGTGTGTGTGTGTGTGTGTATTAGAATATTATTCAGCTTTGAAAAGAAAGGAAATATTGTTCATGCTACAACATGGATGAAACTTGAGGACATTATTGTAAGTGAAACAAGTCAGTCACAAAAAGACAAATACTGTATGATTCCACTTATATGAGGTATCTAAAGTGGTTAAATACATATAAACAGAAAGTAGAATGGTGATTGCCAGGGGTTGCAGGGAGAGGAAGTTTGGAAATTACTGTTTAATGGGTATAGAATTTCAGTTTTGCTATATGAAAAAGTTCTACAGATTGATTGCACAACACAGTGAATGTACTTAACACTACTGAACTATACACTTAAAATTGGATAAGATGATAAATTTCATGTTACATAGTTTTAACCATAACTCAAAATAAAATATTTTTTAAAAAGAAAACATTAATGTAATAGGCAAACACAATCGTATGACTAATATGAGTTTATTAGGTAGGATTTTTTGGTAATATTTTAAACTGTTTGCTTAGAATTAAGTGTGGTCTTGTCACTCTCCTTATGTTTAGTGATTTCACAATAAGAAATATGAAATTATTTAAAAGGTAATAATATGCCAATAAAATGAAGTAATTCAAATTAAACTAAATTTCAACAAAATACTATCGAATTGAATCCAACAGTGTATAAAAAGAATTATACACCACGACCAAGTGGGATTTATTCCAGTTAGCAAAGATGGTTTAACATTCAAAAATCAATTAATGTCCATCACATCAAAAGGCTAAAGAAGAAGAATCACATGATTATATCAGTAGATGCAGGAAAGACATTTGGTCAAGTCCAACATCCATTTATGATAAACTCTAAGCAAACTAGGAATAGAGGGGAACTGCCTCAATTTCATAAGGAAATATGCAAATTAAAACTCCGATAAAATACCACTACAAACCTACCAAAATAGCTAAAATTTAAAAGATTGACAGTATCAATTTGTTAAAGATATGAAGCAACTAGAAATCTGATACATAGCTTGTGGGGTATAAATTGCTATAACTTTTAAAAAATTGTTTTGCCATACCTACTAAAGCTAAACATACACCTACTCCATGGCCCCCATGGCCCAGCAATTCTAGGTGAAATAAGAGCATATATCCATCAAAGGACATGCACGTAAATGTTCATAGCAGCTTTATTTATAATACCCAAAACTACAGTCTATCCATATGTTTACTGCAAGAAAAATGATAAATTATAGTGTTTTCTTATAATGGAATATAAGATAATAATAATAATAATAATAATAATAACAACAACTACTATTACATGCAGTAACATAGACGAATCTTATACTGTTGAGTAAAAGAAACCGAGAAAAAAGAATACATGCTGTTATGAGTATATATGAAATTGAACAGGAAAAATGAATTGATAATAGCATTGGAATGAAGGTAATATTGATTAGTAAGGGGCATGAGAGTACTTTCTAGGATGCTGGAAATGATGGGGGGGAGTGGTTACTACAGTGATGTGCTAAATAGGTTTATAATTGCTTATGAGAGCCAAATGTTAAATTTTCATCAATTTTGCAAGCTGGTTGACCTCACATGGATAGCTTGAAATTGGCCAGGGTAGGAATTTTTATACCATGAAAATATGCAAATGCTGTTACAAACTAGGGAGAGTAAATTAATAAACATTTACCAGCACCCCACTTATTGCTCATCAAGCCTTGGCCTCTGATTGTGGAAGAATCTTGAAGAAATAGAGAGGATAAGGCCAGGGAGGTACTGAGGAATGGTCTTGTTCAGCCTAAGCCCAGGAGAATTAGCGATGAGACACTAGCATATTATTTGGCATGTAAACGCTCTAGTGAATATTACTTTGTGTATGAAATCAACTGCCCAATATTTGACTTTTCCATCTTTTCTTTAAAGCAAATAAAGTTTTTTCTCTGTATTCTTGGAACAATTAAATGGTAGAGAATATTATCAACATAGATTCCTTTTGACATGTTGCTGAATTTATGTCCTTTTGATTTTGAGTAGTTCAAAAGTTTTTGTTTCTTCTTTAGGAGCATTCTGGAAGAGTTTTCCGACTCCAGTTTGACGAATTCCAGATTGTCAGTAGTTCACATGATGACACAATCCTCATCTGGGACTTTCTAAACGATCCAGCTGCCCAAGCTGAACCGCCCCGTTCCCCTTCTCGAACATACACCTATATCTCCAGATAAATAATCACACACTGACCTCATATTTGCCCAGGTATGAAAAAAATAATTGTGTACAAAGCACCGTGGGTAGGAGATGGAGTATTGGTTGTAAGGTGTTGCTAATTCATGGAGCCTTCTCGTGCCCTTTATCTCTCCAAGTCCTGTAAAGCATGGGAAGCCAACAACATGAGACAGAGCTGGGACTGCATATTGGGTGACCCTTGTGCAGCAGAACTAGTAATTCTTACCCCTGTTATCTAATAGGATTGATAAGAAAGGAAGAGATTTGAATCAGTTTCAAAACTAAGAGGAATGACCCAAAAGCCTGTGGCTTTGTAGTTCCCTGATCAAATCACTACTCATAATAGAGACCTTTTAAACCAGGTAGATAATCTGATGTGTGAATGGGAACATCTCATGGTGAAATATGCTGACTTCTCACAGCTCTGCCTTGTCAGTATCATTTGATTATAAAGGTAGCTTTTTTATCTTGATCCCCATTCCCCAACCCCTCCAGAAATGAAAAGAACTGTCTTTTGACCTTGGTAGTAGTTCTAGAATTGGTGAAAACTCCACATATTCTCCCTCTCAAGTCTTCATCCTCCCTCTGAGGCAGGAAAAGATCCTGAAATTCATCTTTATGTATATTATGGTGTTTTCAAATCATACCTGGTATCCTAAACAGTTCAAATAAATTAAGTAGGTTATCGTTGGTTTGGGAAAATTGCACTACAGCTGGGGAGCATTGCCTCCATTGGAATTTCTCGTTTCCCATGCTTACCTCAGTTCTGTGGCATAAGAACACTTTTAGTACACTTTTTTGCGCATCTTTTTGCAATGGTTCTTCTGAATGGGGTGGTTTGTGCCTTGCTGGGCTCACTTCATTGGTCACTTCTCACAGAGGACACACTGCCTCCTCGTTCCTCAGCCTCCTCATCCAAGTCACACAGGCAAGCCTGGGTGAGAATTTTAGCTGTGCACCCTTGGGCAAGTAACTTCCCAGAGCCTTAGTTTCTTCATTAGTGAAATGAGGGTTGCAGTACCCACTACACAGAGCTGTTGTGAGGATTGCATTGAAATGTTAATTGTAAAATTCTTAGTGCTTAGCCCAGTGCCTAGCACATAACAAGCCCTTGGTAAAAAGTGGTCACCAGTATTAATATTATAATTGTCATGTTACCTATCCCATCCTTTTGCTAGAATTTCTCCACCTGAGATTTTTATGACATTTTGCCACTTTTAATATTCTTTCTGGTGTTCTTATTGCGTATGTCTCCTTCCCCTCTCACTGCTGAAATACAGACATCCCCTAAGAGTATGATTCAGGCTTTTCTTCATTATCTAAGCTCCCTTCTTTGTCTGCCTTATCTCTTGCCAAGATTTCAGCTATCGTCTCAATCTAGATAACTCTAAAATTTGTATTTCTATTCCTAACCTCAGCCGTAATCTCTAGGCCACATATCCAGCCACATCTGTCTTTGAAGGCCACTCAGGGCCAGAACCTCAGAGCTCTTCTAGCCTGCTATACCTTTATAGGGAGCAGGTGAAAGCTTGATGCTACACTCATCATAGTCACTCTTAATCTCAAGACATCGGAGTCACTCTGTGAGCACTGTGGTTCTAGCATGTCAGTGAGCCCTGTGAAGTCCCCAAACAGGCCATGTAGCCTTTGACCGAAACTCTTGCTTGGCATGGGCAGAGAGCAGGCATTAATAAGCACCTCTGAGCCATTCTCCCAGTTGACAGCTAAGTTAATATTTTTTTCCTCATAGAGCAAGTGAGAAGTACAGGGAAAGGGACTAATGACTATTTGCTCTGTTTTCACACAGGACTCATTAAAGTTGCGGTATTTAATGTATCTGCCAATACCAGGATGAGCAACAACAGTAACAATCAAAATACTACCCACTTTCCCCGGACTAGCCGAGGAGCAGGGCTTTGAGACTCCTGCTGGGACACAGTTGGTCTGCAGTCGACCCAGGAGGGTCTTCTCAGTACAGCTGACTGCTTCCGTGCTGCTATCAGAAGATGTCTTTTATCTTTCGTGAATGATTGGAACTTTTAAACCTCACCTCACTTCCCCTCCTCTTTCCCCTCTGCACCTGTTTTTTCCTCATTTGGTTCCAGACAAAGATGACTTATAAATATATTTAGTGTTTTGCCAGAATCTCTCTTGCTTTGCCGTTAAGCAGAAGAACTAGTTTCCCTATATAGCCTGCTGGGAGAGACCCACTGCTAGGGGACAGGGGGAAACCACCTCAAGCCAGACAGCAGCCAGTGTCTCCCTCTGAACTACAGGAATGC